ACCCGATGAAGATTTAATTGCCGGTGTTACAGCTGCATTCGATTTAGCGCATGGTTCTGCTGCTACAAGCGCTTCCGATCGAGCCGCTGCACTCGCAGCTGCCTCATCCAGTGCTTTTGTCGAGCAGCAGTATCGCAATATGGTAAGTGGTATCTAATCGACATGAAAAGAAGACGGGCTTATTAGTAAGGCTTGTTAGCAGATATCAGATTTTTATAAAAAGGAAGGTTAATAGAAGAGAAGGGTGAAGATATTTCTTGGCTTAAGTTAGTACCAATTTACCATCAAAACGAATGAACGAATCGTACAAGGGTTGGTTGTCTTTGTTGACAGATTCGTCACGGGAGCAAACTTCACTTTTTAGAGAAGGTGAATTATAGAATAGGAAGCTAAAAAAAAATACTGGAATTGTAGAAAAAAGCTCAAATTCTGATTTGAATCAAATCATGTGATTTAAAAATTCGAGTCAAATTTGAATCGAATCGAAAGTGTCCTGATCAATATTTTAAAAAAAAGTCGTTACCTGAGTCAAACTTAATAACATCCGCTTGGAGCATCTTAGAAAACAGAAATTCTTGCTAAGCAATTACATGTATTTTGCAATAAGAAAATGTCAATATTGTGCAGAAATATCGAAAAAACTTAGCGTAAAACGTGTCCTCCGAACAGTCATAATGAGATAGCATGCAATTATTGTTTCTCCCATGAATTAGTTTTTTTTTGTGTTTAAGGCGTAGTATGCCATTATAATTACATGCTTGGAATTGAAGGAATTCTTGCTTCCAGCAAGATACATTTATTACCACTTTTTAGTTATTTTTCAAGCCGTTCAGCTTGCAAATTTTTGCGATCTTAAAAGACGACGGTAGCGGGGGAAGGGGAGGGGAGGGAAAGAGGAGATTGCTGTAAAATTAAGAAGGTATATTTGTTGAAACTAAATGGCAATTGGCGTTAATGTTAGTGTTAGAAGTCGGGAGATACACATTTAAGAATTTACCTCTCCACCCGCCTTTCTCCCTTTTAATATATAAATTTATACAAATCTTGGGGGAAAAATGGTACTGGCACATGCCACTGGTTCGAGTTTACTACTGGCTTTTTTCTAAGCATTCCTCAAAGAGAGGTACCGTGTGATTGCTTTTGACGCTTGCTGTAATTCGAGCAACTTCCAGACACCTTTTGCTCCTCACACAGAGTAAATATGGAGCGGATTTTGACTTATTGTCGCAAATATATTTTTCCTCAAGCAATTTTTCTTTTTTTTTTCTTCATACAATAGATTTTTCCTGTTTTCTTCATACAATAGATCTTGTTGTGCTCCATACGCTTGGTGTGTTTGTCGCTTTTGTAAGTTCGTGAATTCGCAACGGGTGTCGGCCATGAACCTCCGCTCAGCTGAACTGAAATGTCCTTGCGTGCCGTCCATGTGCTTTTCACCGTTGAGAACATCATGATTAAATGAAGCAAGGAGAGAGCGGAAGCGTCTACAACAAATCTTTCGAAATTTTCGTGAATTTTGAAACGAAAACTCAAATTACCCATTATGCAAGTCAAATTACGGAAAGCCATGAGTGCTCGCGAGTAGAAGAAAAAAAGTCAAATGGCGAAAAAAGTCTGAGTTAATCTAAAAGTGCTCCTTTATCAACCGTTTATCGCATCAGTGAGAAGAAAATTACATTTTTCCCCCCATAATTTTCAAGAGGGTCACATATCTCATGCCTGTGGTATTACTGTCGATGAACACACGCTCTGGGTGCAGTTATTTCAGGAATTTCTACCCTAAAAATTGTACACCTCCTGTTAGTACCTGTAGCTTGTTTGAGGTATGTGCGCCATCCCTTTGTAGGGCATCTGAGTGGTCGTATACTTTCTCGCAAGTGGACTCTCGGACCTAGTAACTTACTTAAGGAGTTACTTAATTCACTTAAGTTACTTAAGGAGTTAAGTGAAAACTTACTTAAGGTAACACTTAAGAAGAAGTCAAAACTATTTGTGTAAATGAATTTATGTAATATATAAATCTTAAAAATTTTTGAAATAAGGCTGACTTTTTAATATATTTTTTATATCGTATAATATGTAAAAGCTGTGCAAATAAGCTTTTGTGAGTAAAAAGTTGTGTGAAATTTTATAAAAAAAGATCTGATTTTAGTCAAACTGCTCGAGAATGGTATCACTTCCGAAACAATTAGTGTGTGCCAGCCATTTTTCCAGTGCTTTTAGGAAAGGCCACTTCCTGAAATCCTTGACAAAATGAGGTTCTCTTTAATGCTGTGGAAAGATCTACGAGAGGAAGGAGAGGGAGGGAGGTAGGGATGGGAGGCGCAAAGTGGTGTCTGGTTCGGCGCGGCCTCCGGGAAAGGTTTTTCGGTGATTTGGTCTGTACAAGTGAATTACCTGGTACAGGAATGTAATGTGCATGAAGCGAGTTGCAATTTCAACACATAAATCATCCGCTGCACTGGCGAGGGCAGGCGACGAGTGGGAGGGAGATGGGCGGAGTGCATCGACATGAGGTCAAAATGAGGGGTATTGGCGTCGAAAAGAAGGCGGAAGGAGGTTGAAAGACAAACGATAGTACAGTGATGAGCTAAATGAATGGCTATTTTCAATCGTCCTTAAAGTATGTGAATTGTATAGAAACAGCGCAACATTAGATGTCGAAAAAAACGGTTTAATGGAATTTTTTTGCATAAAATTTTGTCTCCCTTCTCTCTTTTTCCTCGTCCCCCCTCCTTAAAATGAAAAAAAGAGGGGGGCATCTCAATTTCGGTACGTCTTTTTCATTTCTGTCCCTCATTTATTCAAATCTTTTGTCCTTGAGCTTTTTTTTGTAGCGAGCATTTTTGTTTTACAAACTCAGATTTCGTCCATTTTTTAATTAGCTTTTACCCCTTTTTAGAATTTCTTTGTGCGGATAACTTTCGCGCACTTAAGAGAGTAACAAAATGAAGAAGAAAAAGCAAATAGCGCACATTTTACACTTAACTTTAAAAAGAACTCAAGCTTATGTATACATATTTGTGTGCATGTGTTTATTTTTTTGTATGTTTGTGCGTGTACGTATGTTTATGAGCAGCCGTGCATTTGTTTGTTCGTATGTACCTAAATGCATGTGCTTATGTGGGTCTGTGTGTAATGTGCGTATGCATGTGTGTGTGTGTGTGTATTTGTTAGTCCAAACACAGATTCAGCAAAAAAATCGCGGAAAACTCGAGAATGAAATTTCGGAACCAAATCCTCACATGTGGGGCTGCACATTTGCCTCGCCCTCCTTATGTCTTCGGGATTAAATTTGGACTCGAAAACAGTCAAATCAGGAATCCAAATCTCTGCTTATTGCTGAACTGCACACTACAGGTCATATTTTTCAGAATAGGTTAGATGCGTGGAAGAAATTTGCGGCCGAGTTAACACGGATTATAAAGTGTATCATCGATTTCGTCAAATTGGTGGAGGGCTTTACGCAGCTCAGTCAGGAGGAGCAAATTGCACTACTGAAAGGATGCGTTTTCGAGCTAGCTGCAATTGTTGTCACCAGGCATTACAATCCCGAAACTACCTCGCTAATTCTTGGCCGAGAAATTTTCCCCGCTTCTATTTTTCGGCCTAGCGAACAAGCTGAATTAAATTTTTTCTTGGGAGTAAGTTTAATATTTCAATTTCTTCAAGAGATTTTCATGAAATTTGTGAATTTTTTACGAGAATTTAAGTTTTGATATTCAAAAAATTAACATTTTTAATTTTCCGTTACTGCTTTTGGTGAACTAGAGAGTGCACCGCTAATGCCATGCAAAAGGTCTGATTTCGACCCTGCTACTGGGACAATCAATCTTTTTACAATTCACCCATTCATTCGTTTCGATGTTATATTGGTACTAGCATATGCTAGGGAGTCAAACCTGCCATCAGCTTGCTTGCAAGCAATATTAAAACGGAGGAGCCATTGACAGCTTTGCCAGCTAATAGCTGCTTTGGTTCTTCGTTGCCATCGTTATACTTCAGAACTGTCTGCTCCTTTCGAGAAGAGCAAATACGGTGGGAGTGGTGGTATTCGATATTATAATTTTAAATCCCTTGCAAAATTTACGGCAGTGGAAGACATCAAAGTCCCGGGTTATCATGAATTGAGCACTTATTTTGATTTCTTAGAAGCTCCTGTCCTTTACATTCTATGAAGTGTTTTTGGAACAGACGTATCGGTTACGCCATATAGAGTTACCGGATTTTTCCTTCAAATTTTTTCTTCTTTTTAAACATTGAAGAAAATTTTTGATGGTGGCTGACTTGCCATTCACTTTTTTTTTGATGGTGGCTGATTTTCGTAGTTAATTTATGGAGAAGGCATGCTAATACAAATCAAGCATTGAGCAGCGACTGAAAGATTTTTTTTCTTAAATTTCTCCCATTGAAAAATCCAAAGCGCGGGGGAATTTAGCCAATTCGGTGTAAATCAAAATTTTTTTATCAAATGAAGGCTTAGAGTTTTGAAAATCCGGGAGAAGCCGACTTCAAAAATATCAACAAAGAAATTGAAGAAGACAACCACAGGTTGTTGCGAATGTGGCCTGTTTAGCAGGCTATTTTACGCGGGCTTTTCGCGGATGCGCATGGCAGGGATATCGTTGTAGTTCTGGGGTCAAGTTCTTTCAGGGGCAAGATTTTTTTCAGGATTTGCTTCATGTATAAGTTTTAAAGCTCAAGCATAAGAGAATCGTTTCATCATTTCAGATGCACAGTTGCATTCATGAATTAGCGC